TCATAGTTATCAACGTATATGTTTTCCTTACCCCACTTGATGATAAGGTTTGCAAAGCCAGGGATTCTTTATTACGCATCTCCCCTCGAGGGCCAGCCTAATGCCTTTGTCATCGGAACAGTGCATGAATTTCTTGTTAACTTGACTGTTACATGGAGCCAGATGGCCATCTAAAAAGAGGGGTGTAAAACATGCTAGCCAGTCATAACAGAAGACTCCACAGAATTCCCTTCGTCCCTGGAACATAAAAATGTGGACTTTTATGGCTTTCCTGGGCGAGAGGCCCAGAAGATGAATGGATATTATTGAAATCAGAGATGTATGAAAAAGCTAAGTCATTCCACACATTCCTCGTTTTCACTTGGAAAGTACACTCCACACTCAGTCCTGTCTGCCTCTCTGCCCCTTGTGGATTATCCTCTTCCGGAGCTCATTACCTCCTCTTCCAGGAAGCTTCCAGCGTAGGGGAGAGTCAGGCTTGTGGCCTCCAAAGCCAACCTGTCTGGTTTAAATTCTGGCTTCATCATGTACTAGCCATAGCCTTGAGCAAGTTATTTAACTTCTCTGTGCTTTAGTTTCCCCATCCAAAATACGGGTATAGTGATATCCCGGGTTTACAAGGCTGTAGCGGATTCAGTGGTGTGTGCTCACCAAATGTTACTCGTGATCAGCACTCCATTCCACCACGATCTCTTTCTTCTCTATCATCACACAGTTTAGTAGTTAATTGTTCTCTGATTATTCTTATAATTTTACCAGGCCCCCAATCATTTTTCTGGGGGGTCTCACCTACGCAGAACACACTTGAGAACCAAGAAGCAAGCAATGACAATACCACCAACACGACCATCAAGATAACGGAACACCCCAAATCAGTGTCACAGAACCCCTGTACTACAGACTAATGAGCTTTCCTCATAAAACCTCTTATACCCACACTCGTAGCCTGTTAACTCTTAGTGTATGTATAGTTAGAACAAGCTGCATCATTGGCTTTCCCAGCCCACAGCCTAGACAAAAGTAGTCCAGGATCATTTGGTAGCGGGGGAAACAGTCTTCCATTTCTCAGCACTCCTTAGGAAATACTTAGAGTGTGGTGAAATAGTGTCCCTTGCCACGATCCTGAGTAAGAAGGCAACAAAAGTGTTAACAAATTTTAGAAAGATTGTGATTATGATTAATAATTAAATTAAACGTATAGAATAATGCCTTCTCAAATGACAGCAGGTAACCAAGAGATCATGGTATGCTCATTTTTCTCTTCTTCACCATGGCGTAAGCTCATGTTAAAGAATTTTAGATCTTATGTTTCTTTCGCGTCCTCATAATAGCTCGTAAGTCAATATTGACTACTCCATAGAAACCCATTAATTGTTGGGAAAACAGCTTACATTAAAAAGGCCCACAGCTTGGTTTTTAAGTTAATTGGATTTGACCCCATACAAAAAAAAAAATGTTATCAGAATCATAGATGTGAATATTTTATTTGAAGACATTATCAAAATAGAATAATGTTTATGAACAAGGCAGATGTGAATTGCTCCCCTCTTGGGGATTTAACATTCGAGAGCAGTGCTGTTCACTAGAACTTTCTGCAGTGATGGAAATAGCTATATCTATGCTGTTCAGTACTGTAGCCACTGCCCTATAGGGCTGCTGAATACTTCAACTGTGCCTAGTGCAACTGAGACACTAAAATTTAAATTTTATTTAATTTTAATTAATTTAAATTTTAAAAGCCACATGTGGCTACCAAATCAGGCAGCACAGCTCTAGAGTCCAGTACTGTGAGTGCAAGTTTCACTTAAACCCTTAGTGTTCCAGAACCATCTAGCCAGAGTTGATGTTGAGAATGGCTCCTGAGATCCTGCCAGATCCTTGATCATTAGACAAAGATTTTATCAATTCAGACAGTTTAAAGAGCTTTTTCAGTAAAACACATTTCTTGCATATCCAAAAGTCCAACTTCTCTAAAGAACTCTGAGTTAATCCAGGTTCTGAATCTGAAAGCCCTCTCCCTTGGGGCCTGTTTATGATACTTTAAATTCTCCTTATCATCCCAAGGGAGAGTCACTTGGCACAAACCTCAAAGAAAAAGGCGTGGGGCTGGGGTTGGGGGGGTGGGGGGGGACCCCCATGGGACACGACACAGCTTATTAAAGAATTATTGTTGTTCCCTATCTGCTTTCTCTCTCTCTCTCTTCCTCTCTGCCTCCTTCCCTCCCATCCCCATATATATACATACACACATATGTACATATACGCAAATGTACAGGGGTTCACTTTCTACGTAAAAATGAATGCCTTTCTGGAATCCATGTTAACAAGTCAGCAGCTCCAAGTAAGGATGGATGTCTTTGGCCCTGTGCATTCATCACATATCTTACCAGCTGCTATTTAGATTTCACTGTAATAGTTTGCATCCTCAGCAGAGATAACAAAGTGGAAAGATATAGACTCCCTCTGAGGCCTGTTCTAGAGGCGAGAGGTAACCATGAGGACGAGTGAGCCGCTGGAGAGGTGGCACTTCTGAATGCCCCACTGAAAAGTCGTGCAAGTGTGGGAAAGTGCTGGCCTGGGAGCTGGAGGTGCAGCGTGGAGCTCGGGGAGCCTGGGTAAGCCTCTTCACATTTCTGGGCTCTGCTTTCCTCCCCAGCAAGACTGCAGAGCTACACCAGATTCAGGCCTAGGATGTGATGGCCAAGAATAGCTTCTAATCCATTCCATGTCCCTGCAGGGACAGCTGGATCAGGCACTCTGCAGTCCCGACCCCCCGCCACTCACCTTCATCCACCTGGAATCGGGTTGGAATGAACATCAAGGGCAGCTCTGGAAGGGGAAAGGTCACAGACGGCATTATGCACCGAGGACAGGTGTGGATGGGCTGGGCATGGGCAGTGTGAGGAAGGTCTGTCCCACCCTCTCTGTCTGGTGAAATTATATAGATATGAGGCACAAGTCTTCTTAGCCCTGGCCTGGAGACCTGCCCCCATCTCTCAGCAAGATGGCCTACAGCTTAGTTACCGGAGTAACAGAAGAGGAATCCAGAAGCTGGGATCTGGGACAAATGCCTTGATCACTAGACTTCTAGGCCAGTTCAATCACCAGCTTTCTTTGGGGCCACTACTGTTAGGAGGAAGAAAGACCTATCGTTGGGCTGGGGCCCAGACTAGATTCCTGGGGAAGACTGTCTGGCCTCCAGCTCCAGCTCCAGGAAAAAGGAGGCACAGAGGAATGAATCTGGACAATGAGGAACGGCCTGCAGAAATGACTTCGCCTGAAGCCAAAGCATCAGGTTCCCATTTCCACCCCTCAACCACCCAGCGGCAGTGGCTGCACAGAGTCAGGAGGCATTGCTTCTTCCAGGCCCTGGTTATGATGCTCCCCAGTGGCAGAGAGCAAGGAATGAAAACCAGGCTTCTCTGCTCGGGAACAGGGTTCTTTTTTGGAGGAGGAGGAAAGGGGTGATAGTCAATAGCCTCTTCCAGAACTATTGAAAACCTTGGGCCCTCGCCCCGCAAAAAGGCCCATGTGCATATTCTATGTGCTGCAGTGTTTCAGAAGACACACATGCCTCTCCACGTGACCCTGGGAGTGATGATCAACCAGCTCCCTGGTCCAGCTGCAGTCGAATCACCTGGGAGTGGTCATTAGCATGCAGATTCCAGGGCCTCACACCAGACCTACTGAATCAGGATCTTTGGGTTGGGGGGAAATTGGAATTGCCCTGACACTTCCTTTTGGGAACAAATCCCTCATGTGGGAGATGCCCCTAGAGCAGGATCCTCATAACAAGTACCCCAGCTGATTCAGCTGCAGGCAGAATGTTCTGGGATTAAGGGAGCACCAGGAGCAGGCAGGCTGCCCTCACTGTGGTGTGCTGAGAAGAGCATGGACTGGGAGCCAGGAGTTCTGTGTTCTCGTCCCAGCACGTCCATGAACATATAAATGATCTAACTGCTTCGTCCTCAGGCTCTTCTTCTACTCAAAGAGGGGGTTGAAGGGACTGATACCTAAGATTTGCCCATCTATCTCGTTTTAGCTTTTATTGGCATTGCTGTGTAGACTTCTGAGCAAAACAGGGGAAGGACCTTGGGCTTCAAAGCAGTGGATCCCCCACATTGTTGCCAGACTTGGATGGTATTTCATTTCCGTCACTGAGGTGGTTCAGTTTCTTACTTATGAAGGTTTAAAATATATTTACTTATTTATTTATTTTTCACACTTTATTTTTTATTATAAAAGTGACATAGGCTCATTACAGAAAAAAGAAAAATTCAAACATTACAGAAATGCCTCCCTCTCATGGCCAACTCTGATCTTACTTCTGTGAGATGATTCTTGTTAATGATTTGATGTATGTTCTTCCAGACTTAAAGAAAAAGGATTTCCAGAGCAGCAGCAGCATAACTAACATTTCCTGAGTGCTTACTACATATCAGGCCATGTGTTAGGTGCTGTACGTCCATTATGCATTTAAACTTCACAACAACCCTGTGAGGGAGGGATTTCTCTCCCTAATTAGGGTTGGGGAGATTTTACATACACACACACACACCAATAATCTATTTTGCAAAAGGAGGACGATGCTATACCTACTCTACTGCAGCTTGCTTCTTTCATTCTTAAAATATTGTGAACATCCTTCCATAACCATATATGCAAAACTTTTAACATCTGCAGGGTGTTCTGTTATATGACGTCATCATAATTAAGCAATCCCGAAGGATGTTTTTATTACCAACAATGCTATAGAGCTACAGTGAACATTTTTTTTACAGGTATCTTTGCGTACTTGCGTGAGTATTTCTGTAGGATAAATTTCTAGAAGTAGAAAGAGTAGGTCAATATACATATATCAAATCATTCTGTTGCACACCTTAAATGAGTACAATGTTATATGTCAGTTACATCTCACTAAAACTGGAAAGAAAGCAGAGTCTTAATTCCAATCCAGCTTAAAAGAAAAAAAAGGAAACAGTAGATCAAATAGGGCACATAAGTGAAAAGTTTTTATACTTTATGCACAATCTGGCTAACAGAAAATGAACTGTATTTGAACATCTCTTCTATATGCTGAAAGTCTTTTCAAATTTAAATCCAAGTACCGAGTAAGGATCAGACCTCTGTTTCTCAGAGCTGGTTTTAGATTCTTGGTTCTGCCACTAAACAGCTATGAAACCCGGAGCCACAAAAAAAGTATGTCATTAAACATCTGAGGCCTTGATTTCTTCCCGCGTGATATGGCGACGCGGTAAGAGATATTTTCTGAAGCTCCCTTTTGCCCTACCATTCGCCAATTTGATTAGTCCTTCAGCTCTCTGCATTTGTTTTCCATCTATGAAAAAAGATTTGATTCTTTTGGCCGTCCAGGATCAATTAGGTAAGGCATCATTTAGCTAAGACCTTTCAAACTTAGAAGTGCTAAGTCGTTCTCTTATGACTTGCAGAGCAAGTAGATCTTTGCTGGATATGATCTAAAACAGCTTCCACTTCTAAAGTAGTTACTGGGTCTCTAAAAAAATAAGATAACTATTGAATCCAAGAGGCCACTCTGTCTCAGCATTCTGGGATGTGGACATGATGAGTAGCAGGAGGTGTTTGGGAAGGCTCATATGGTATCACATCTCTCTTGGGAATCTTGCCTTCCTGGAATGAGTATGTCCAACTGTATGTTCCCTAACAAAGAAGGGATTGTGTGGACCACGACCTCACGGAACACACAGCACATTTCAGATGAAGGACTTACCCAATCTTTTTCTATGGTGTTTGGGACAAAGTCTGAGGTAACAAGGCCTTACATTTTCACTGTGTTCCATAGTCATTATTCCAGTTGGCCCTCTGCACATCCCTGATGCAATAGCCAGAGAGGGAATAGTTATCCCCATTGTTAAGGTGCAGATGTGGAGATTCAGAGAGGTGTGCTGACTTGCCTCATATCAGACAGCGTGAGTGGCAGAATCCAGTACAGAGTCCATGTCCCCTCCTCACTCCCCTGCAGTGGGTCGCTGCCATGTTATTCTCTGGTTCCTTGCTGTTCACGCTTCTTAATGGCTGGATTCCTCTTCAGTGCCCTCTCCAGTCCAGACTTATCTAGTTGAAAAGGTACAGGATCTTGGTGTTTTAAAGGGCATGTACAGGCTGTAGCGTGGAATATCTCTGAATTTGGGATCCGGCCGATGGTGAGTTTTACTTTCTAAAACACAACAAGAAAAAAGAAAATTAAGTGACTAAAGATTACCCTTAGGATTGTTTGTTCTCAGTCTGTCCTTATTCACACCCTTGGAGCTGGTTTTGAAGAAAATCCTGCGATGAACTACAATATCTGGGCCAGAGGAAGCCAGGCTGACTTGTATATTCAGGTGAAGATGGATTTTTATTCTCTGGCGTCCACTGACCTGAGATTTTAGGGCAGATTCCAGAAAGCATCGATGGTGCCCAGATGGGCCCATGTGTACCAAGAATTAAAAAGCCTCTTGAAACTAGAGAATCCAAATGAGACCACCAGACAGGACCAGCCCCTGACAAAATTGGGAGGAAACTGAAGTTTGATGTATTCCTCCTGCAATCTAGCATCTCCTCCCCTTTCACAAACACACCGTCTCCCCCTCCTTTTAAAATCACGTTCTCTCCTCTCACTGTCCCTACATCATCCCCACCTCAAACTCCCACTTCTCTCAACTCAACTTCACTCTCAAGGAAGGAGAATAAGTCTTCTTGGTTCAGGTGCTCTAAAACGTTAGGGGCCCTTGGCTGGCCCTCCTTTGATTCCACATCTCTCCTCTTCCAACATTCTTTCTCCTCCCAGGGACCAGCTATTTGAATTTTTAAAAAGAACTTAGCCTAAAGAAATAAGCCAGGAATGGTGGGGGTGGGAAAGTAGGGGAATCTTTATCTTCCAAGTAATCATGTTGGTGAACACCCCATATTTCTCAATAGCTTCTAGTTGTTAGCCAAGAGAAGGGGGGCAGGCAGAATGAGCGCAGGAGAAATGCTGTTGTCCCCTCCCATGCCAGCGACTCCATGAGCTAGAAAGACAGTCTTGATAAGCTGCAGTCAGCGACGTCCAGATGGAGTTCCTGAATCTACTCCCAGGCAAAATCCTTTTCTTGGCTTCAGAGCTGATGCCTGGATCTTTGGGTCAGAGTGTTGTTTGGTAACTTTCAGCAGGGTTCAGATTATATTGAACACTTGGCCCCAGTGTGGGTCTTTGACAGATGAAATAGATTTTAGTTCCAGATTGCTGGACTGGGTCCCTGAGAGCTCCCTCTTTTCTACCATGCAGACTCCCACCCTAGTCTTCAAAACCCAAGCTAAACACCTCCTTCTCTGAGATGCCTTTCTGGCATCTCTCCCACAGATTTAGTCCATTCTTCCTTTACTCTCCCATGGCCCTCTGATCATATCTCAGGGCACACACTGTTTTGTAGTAACTAGCACTTAACATGCCCGTTTTATCCTCTAATCTGTGAGCTCCTTATGCTCAGCCTGAGGCCATTCTTGTAGCTCTAAGACCTAGCACAGTATCCAGCATACAGTAGATGTTCAATAAATGGTGAGTGAGTGAATGAAGGAATGAATGAATCCTTGCTCTGCCACTAACTGGCTACGTATCTTAGACAACTCACTCATTCTTACTGGGTTTCCCCATTTAGATAACAAGGGTAGTACAATTTGTCTAACCAACAAGGTTACTGTGTGATGCAGAAAAGATAAGACATATATAATCATACTCTCAGAGCTGGAGGAAATTTGAGAGATCACTCAGTACAGCGGTTTTCAGAAATTTTAAGCCAAGGAATTGTTTCTTCAAGGAGAGCTAATGGGCAAGTCCAAGATATAAAAAAGATAAATGATAAATGTAGACCACTCTAGTTGAAGCCCCACACACTGCCCCCTTCCTCTTCTCTCCCCCTGTCCCCATCTTGGGGGTCCAAGAAGCACAGTTTGAAAACCAACTGTCTCACTTCAGAGAGAAGAGACTGATGCCCAGAGAAGGAAGTGATTTTCTCAAGGTCACGTGGCTTGTTAGAAATAAAAATAGACCAGGGAAGAAATTAACAATATGGAGATTGTACTAATAGGCAGAACCATGGCTAACCTTTTAAAAACATGCATACTTAGTACATATCACACATTTTGTTTAATTCTTACAATAACTCTGCGAGGAACGTATATGTTGATTTCTGAGATGAGGAAACTGAAGCCTAAAAAGGTGAACCTGTCCAACATTCCCCAGCCAATAGCAGTAGAAGTAAAAGTAATAGTAACTACATTGAGCACCTAAATTGTGCCAGTCACTGTTGTAAGCATGTTACATATATTATCTCATTTAATTCTCCAATAAACCAGTATTATCATTATCCTTGATTTTATAGAATAGAAAACTGAGGCACAAATTGGTTAAAGGAGGTGGGATACAGAAGGTGAGCTGGTCTGATTCCATTGCAAGCTCTTTTTGCCACATCACACTGCATCTGAGGTCCTGAACCCAGCTGTTCAGTCTCCCAGCCCAGTGCTCTCTCCTAATACTACTTTATGTGAAAGAATTTGAAAGGGTCCTAAAATAACTTTCTGTTATTTACAGGTATTGTATTAAAGTGTTGTTTACACTTCTTATTCTCTTATTTACACTTGGTGGCTGAGGAATGAAGAGTCTCGTGTGTCTTCAGGGCAGACTCCATCTAAGACCTTGATCTTGTTCCTTCTGGCACTGACTTGCCCTGGCCAGGGCCGGTCAGCAGGACTCACCTCCTTCTGGATGGACCGGCTGAGAAATAAGGAGACCTCCTCCAGGCTCTGGGGCTTCAGGTCGTTAACGGCCAAAAGGTGATCTCCGTGACAAAATAAGCATCCCAGGCGTGGAGGGCCTTCCCACTGAGCCACACTGCAATGGGAACACAGCATCCGACACAGTGTGAGACGGGCTCGCTGGGAGCACAGGATGTGGATAGAGACCACCCGGGGCCCCTCACTCCAGTCTCCCCCGTTGTTGTTGCTGTCACCAGCTTCTTTAGCTATGTTGCACCACATCTGAAGTAGACGAACTCCTGTTGCTGCTCGGCATCTTCTTTCCTCTGTCGCTACTGGGGAGCCTGGCCCTTCCTCCAAAGCCCAGCTTGACTCATACCGCCTCTCAAGGTCCTCTCACATTCCACTTCCTGTAACTCATCGCCCCTGCTCCTGAGCGTCTAGTTCACGGTAGGAGCGCCTCACTTCTTACATGTTTAAATAAAATGCACTTTATATTGACTTGTTTACGTGGCTGTCTTTTTCACCAGGCTATGAGACCCCAGAATTACTGCACCATCTTTTAAAAAAAATTGTTTTTATAACCTCATAACTCCAAGTAAACAGAAGGTGCTTAATTAGTATTCATTGACAGTGAGCACATAATAAATACACAGTGAATTTCTAATGAACACATACATGAATTAATGAATGAGCCAGCTCAGGTACAGACAAGTCCACAGCTTGAGTCAAGTATTTATTGAGACTTAGATTGTGGGAAATTTGGAAAAATGGAAGGTTGTGGTTCCCGCTCTCTTATAGAACTTATAAGACAATCACTGTCTAACGTTTACTTTAAAGGGCTTTCTTCCCTTGTAAAAATGTAATCTTATATCAAAATGGATTACAATGCCTCTAAAAGAATGTAGAATTTAATAGACAGTGATCATTTTAAGAAAATCCTCTGCCATGGAGTCTTTTGTGTCTGAGTCTCTGAGCAGCAGGTTTTTAGCTGGCGTCTGGAAGTCTTAGCTCCTGGCATGCCTTTTTCTTTTAGACCTTTGATTCTTGTGGACTTCACTAACTTCATTCTTTCATCAAATACTCATTGTGCATTGAGTGGGAAAGATTTCCTAAGGTCATACTTATTCTTGCCAACTTTTCCTCACCTTCAAGCAATCAGAAATTTGCTCCTTCCTGGACTTTTGGATATAGCTCCTATACCCACCCACCCCCCCAGCTAACTCTCCTACACGATAATACCCTTATTTCTGCCTCAATCAAAGACCTTTGGTGACAACAGCAATACGACAGTCCAAGCTTTTTTGTCAGTTTTGCCACATATAGTGTTTCAAGATGTAATTGTTCTCTGCATATCTTCCTATGCCGTTTATAATCAATAACCTTCAAATCTCCATCTTACCATATCCGTCCTGCAGCTTCTATGAGAGCAAGATAATTTATGATGTCAGGAGGAGAAAGGAACACATTCAGTGTCTCCACTTGGCTTTCATCAGGATTGTTACTACGAGATAAGATGTTTGTAAAAGTTACATCAGGCAACTATCTCTGGCTGTGAACTGTACTTTCTGAGTAGACTTTGGCCTCCTACATCTGAGATAGTATTTTCCAGTTAAAGATTGTCCAAAACATTTGGAGAAGAATATGAATTTGTTACTGAAAAGTACTCATTAATGCCCTCCCCCACCCTTCTTGAGGTAGACAATGGGACGGGAGTAAAAAATGAAATAAATTGATGATATAACTGCCCATATCATGTCAGTTTGTACATCTCTCCGTTGGAAATTTCATAGGAGACACTGAAAAGAGTTAAAATTGGCAACAATCTCATCAGATGCTCTTGGCATCACTTGAAACTTAAATATCCCCCTCCTAGTCTGTAACCAAACCTCATGTGACTTGTATGCCCATAATTTTAACAGTAAAAACTGGGTGACATGCTACTCAGATCAGTGTGATCCAAAGTTCCAAAAACTGAAAGACTAGTCAAGGGGAAATTTTTGAAAACATTTGAAAATGCCACCCACAGCCCGGGGGACCGCTTTGCTTCCGGCTCTGTCTCTCATTGTCCTTTGCCACCACATCAGTGAGGAGGAGAGGCTGGGCAGACTCGGCTGACTTGGAGATTTTTAGGAAGTGCTTTAAAATTTGAGTTCTGATTAAAAAAGGAAGCCTGCCTTGCTCTAAGGGCCCATAAAGTTTTAGAAATGAGAACTTTACTTGATTAAAATAGACAATTGCACAACAGTTAGTGAGGCCGACCCCTTTTTGTCATTCGTGGTCTGTGCTTCCGTATTGGCAGGTGAAAGACAAGAGTCTCTTCCTGAGCCTTGTTCCTGCTGGTGAAGCCCCACATTCTGGGTCTCTGGAAGGGTCTGGGATTCCTCTTTGCTCTCAGCAGCCTCATGGGATGTCTCTTTGAAAAAACTGGAGTATAACAAGTTAACACAAATCCTTTTTCAGCATGTTTATGTTCAACTCTCTGAGATATGTGAATCAGAGTTAAGTAGCTAACAGCCATGTGAAAACTAACAAGGTCTTGAAGTATGTCCAACCATCAGAATCACAGGCCCAGTTAGAACCAAATCCAACAAACTTTCCTTCTAAAGATAGACATGGAGTCAAAATAACTCTTTACATTGGGAGGGTTTGGAGGACAGAAGTGAGAGTGTGAGAGACACAAATGCAAAATAGAAAATAACTTCCCCAGGAGGCAGAAAATGCCCTGAGGATGTCACTAAATGGTTTTCTATGGATAGAGAAGCATTCTCACTTTTTCTTGTTTTGAGATTATTGAATAATGTGTTGAACTTGGTCTATGAGAAATGCTTTTATACTAATAAATCAACAGTAATTGTTCTATAATTACATTAACAGTACATTAGTTAAAATAAATTTTAAAATTATGGCAGGATACTTACCAGGATTTCATCGACATGTAATGATTCTCAGTTCTCTTGGAGACCTGGTCTGGACTACCAGGTTTAATGGATTCACCAGAATCCTGGGAAGCAATAATATTACCCAACTATAGACAGGGGGAATAGATGTAAGGATGCAAGTCTACTAATAAGCCAGGTATCTTTTTACCCTTACATAATGGCTCTGGGCCCTGAAATAGTAAGTTGAATGAACGATTGGGTGAATAGTGCTGCTCATTCTGAGACTATCAACCAATCTTATCTACATGAGACTGAGCCAGTAAAGCTGCTGGCAGACTCAAAGTCCATTTTCTTCTCCTGGAGCCCTCATGTTCCTGATACAAGTGTTCTATTGAACTAAATTGCTATTTTCCTTTCCCTTTCATCACTAGGCCCTTAAAGACATGAACTCTTTTTCCCAACCAGTGCTACTGTAGAATCATGTCACCTGGTTGGGTCAAAGACTCTGACACAATGCAGAGCTGGCCTCAGGCTACTCTGCTCACAGGCCTCCCAAGTTGCTTCAGAAGGCTGTAAGGGTTCTAGAAAATACTGCCCTTGGGAGTCTCTCAACCAACCCCTCAAAACTACGAAAGTCATTTGGAGCAATGGTTGCTCAAAAACCCTAAGGGCTTTCTATTGCCTACCTAACAAATTAATCATTAATCTATAATGAGAACACTTGATTCCAGTCAAGCCAGTCTTCCCACTACTCCTCCCACAGTGATCTTCTGGTGCCCATTTTCATGGATCTTCCTTCACCTGGAATGCCCATTTTCTCTTCTGCCTGATGAAGTTGTGTTCAGGCCTGGCTGAGGTCCCACAGCCCCCTCTGACCACCTCAGCCAATCTTTCCCTTCTCTGAACTTCTACAGAACAGCCTTGTACTTAATTTTTTCTGGTCTTTTTAAAATGGTCTTTTAGCTTAGTTTTACCTGCCTTACTAGACTTTGCATGCCATAAAGTACCTAGCAAATGCCAGGCATATAACCAATGCTCAATATAACCTGACCGGTTGGTTAGACTGTCATAAAAGGCTAGTTGCCATCGTTATGTCCCAGAGAACACTAGCATGAAAATAGTTTTGGTGAAAGAAGGACCCTGTGGTCAAATGAGCTTGGGAAATGCTCTATGTTGTATCCTACCTGGCTATTTATAGTGCTCCACTGCATACCAAAGGCTCTGAGAATTCTGTAGTGAAGAAGCTTGTTTAGCTTACTTTAACTTGGTGTTTCTGGAACTTATTTGAGCCCAGAATGCATCTTTTGTGTGAACACATGTCACCATCATGTAGAAAACCCCCAGTTTGGGAAATGCTGCAGTCCTCCCCCCACTTTGGTCTTCCTACCTCCCATGTCCTTTCTCTTCTCTCTATTGTCCACCTCAAATATAGCTGCTGGGTTAGTATTATTGGAACATAATTCAAGTTTTGCCACTTCCCAACTCAGAAGCTGTCACTGTCCCTGTGATAACTAGAGGATGAAGTCAGCTTGGCATTCAAGACCCATCATGGTCTGGTTCTTTTTTTTGTCTTATTTCCCACTATGCCATTCACCCACTCTAGGTCACAGCCCAACTGAACTATTCAACGGATACGTATTAAATGCCATTTTGTCTCTGAAGCCTTCCTTGACTCCAGCAGAGAGAGAAAATCTCTTTTTTTCTATTGCTTCCAGAGCTCTTTGACCATGCCACTTTGTAGCATTATCATGTGGTAACAGATGGGATTGTAAGCTCCGAGGGCTGGAATGATGCTAGATCCTTCATTATAGCCACCATACCTAGGACCTAGCACACAGAAGGCACTCAGTAGTGGCTTCCAGTTGATCAATAGACTGGTTGATACACACGACACAATTTATTACCCAAGGACCTTTGCTCAGACTATTCTTTCAGCCCAGAAGGCAGAATGACTCCCCAAGTGAATCCCCCAAGTGCAAATTTTACCAGTCAAGTAAGGTCAAATGTCATCTCCTTCAAGGAACCTTCCCTAGACTTCTGTCTGGAATTCAGCTCCCCCACCTCCCACCCCTCATGCACTCTAGCTATTTAATAAATATCTCTCTTCAGCACGGAGCCCTTTCTGTCTTGTATCATAGTTGGCTCCTATTTAAGTGGCAACACTGTGAGCACATCACCTCTGTCTGACTCACCTCTGTGTTTCACTGAACCCAGCCTAGTGCCTCAGAAATAGTGCATGGCAGGGGCTCAGTAAATAGTTCTAGAAAGAATGAAAGATTAATGTGTGGAAAGGGTTACCTCTAAAGGAATACTTCGAGGACTAACATAATGACTCTCTTCTTCCGTATCTTGACTGGTCTCCGACAAGAAATCATGTGATAGATGAGATGGTTTGAGTCCTAGAGAACTTTTTCCTATTAAATGCTGAAAAAAGAGATGAAGACAGAATTAATGCTTTTCTTTTTCTTTGGAAGAGACAGAATTAAACCATATGCTTTCTGGAAAAGCCATAATTAATTAGGCTGAGAATATCAGAGGATCTTCCAAGGTTATATCCAGAAGCCCACACAACTTGAACTTGCCTCTTGAGTCTGGGTCACCACTGATGATGTAAAGATATAAGCCCATCTTTTAGGCTTTTCTTTACCACTGGGAGCTGTAACTCAGAGCTAGCGGTTCTCCCTGGTAGGTAGTGTACTAAGTCAGTAAGCTCCGTCACTGAGTCCCCCACCCCCTTCTTTTTCCAGCTTTCACCCAGTGCCATCTGAGAAGGTAATTACCCGAGAGTAAAAGGCACCGCACCTTTCCTCTTTCTGCTCAATATTCATCTTTTGTTTTCTGCTTGTATACTTCTATTGTTTCCATAACAGTGCTATTTGGTAGTGTTGATTTTGTGATAGTATGAGTTATAGGCTTCAAGGTGATCTAGATTCAACCAATGACCATCTTCCGTCCTCAGTAAATACAAGATACTCTACTAAAATAGCTACTTTGCATGGCAGGAAAATTGTTATAAGTACAATTTAATTCTTCCAAAAACAATGCCTTCGAGCAGAGTGTTTTGAAAAGACCATGAATGTTCTCTAGGAAGTCCTTGAAAGAAAGTGATTTTAAAAAATAGATGTATTTAAGTTGTGCCCATTTTTCTGGCTCCAAGCTCATGGAGCCAGATCATGCTGTGCTGGGGATGAAGAAGGGTTTCCACTCAATTTCAACAACAGCAACAAATCCCAACAAGGCATATGGTACTCTTAACTGAAGCTGATTGAAAAATCACTGGATTGAAATACACAGTGTGAAAAGGCAAGAAAGCCAATAATGTTATCTTTTGGGAGAAAGGGTATGGTGAGTGAAAAGCAAGAGGCATTTACTGAAAAGGGCTATCCTTCTCAATCCCGTTTCCTACCACCCTTCCTACAAACACCCAATGAGGTGTTTGGCCTGGTGAATTGGATATGTTATGAAAAGCTTTTAAAATAGTTGGAGCGCTCCCAACTAGATAAAGTAGGGGGCTATGCCACATTAAGAAGTGTTTGGTACTCAGGGAGAAGGGCAGGTCAATGATTACATCTCTAAGGGACAAATTAGTATCCATGGCAAAATAAAAATATCTAAAATTGGGAAGACTGCAACTCCAAGAGAGCTGAGAGTATCAGCAAATCACTTTCAAGGGGCAGAGGTATTGTATTTTCTTCCTCAAACGGATTTCATTTGCAACGCAGATGAAGTCACACATCCACACACATCCACAAGCAAGACTGATCTGGGTAAATTAAGGAAATTGATAAGAACTCTGCCTTTGCCCTAGGAGTACAGATGGTATGACAAGAAATCAAGTGGTGTTTTGGGAATCTTTTTACAGAGGTAATCTGTACCCTGTGTGTGAAAGGAAGGAAAAGGTTGCCAGCCAAGCTTTTGTTTAGCTGGAGGGATCTCCTTCCAACATACCCAGATGCGTGTTGAGCAGCATCTGAAATGAATGAATACACTTAGATGTCGGCAGGACAAGCAGTAAGGCTCATCTATGGTAAGGGAAACAGACTAGATATAGGATAAATACTATGTCTAAGAATCATTCTTATGGTGGGTTAGGCTTTGAGGAAGGTGTCAAATACATTGGTAAGAACTTTGAAGCATCAGCTGGCTCCCAGGCATGGCATCCCGAGAGAGGATGAGGAGAGTCTGATTACCACGTCTGGAAGACTGTTTCTTGGCATGGTGGAGCTGACAGTCTCCAATGTGTTGGAAGGACCAAGGAGAGGGCAGGGGTCCGAAGATGGCCTTTTGTCACTCGATGAGAGTTTCTCCTGGTTGTGAAAAAGGAATATTGGAATGAGGGCACGACTGATCTCTTGTCTGAAATGAATCAACAGCCTTGTCACTGGGCTCCCTGACTCCAGTCTTTCACTATTAACATTTATATTCCCGGCCAGCAGTCTCTCACTAAGACACAAGCTCACCTCCTCTCTCTCCTCTTCCCAAACGCTTGAGGACTCTCAGCCTGGCCTTCAGAGATGCCCTGAGTTCCCTCAACCCGTCTTTTCAACCCTCTGTCCCGTGCACTCACCCCTTTGCTCTAATCATTTGAGTCTACTTGTAGACTTGTAGCCTTGCTTTCCCCCCTTCCTTGACCTCTGCCTTTATTGTAAGCATAGAACAACCTAGAAAACATGTCAAAACAATACCTAGAGACCAAAGTTTCATGTATAAAGTTCTGCTCTAAGAAAGGACTTGTATAAATTAGCAAAGGTTCTTAAGAAGTAAATGAAAAACTTAAATCTAATAGCCCTTACGTTAAAGAGACATTATATTGAAAATGCCAGATAAATGAAAAGCATTTTTATAGAAACCACCTTAGACTTAGTCATTCAATAGGTAGCTGTAATGTACCTTGAATAACAATTATGGAAAATACTCTAGTTTCAGCTACTGTTAAGAAATGCCAGTTAACTTTCCCTTCTCCTACCCCCATAATGAAAATCTGAAGTGTCTGTATTTTAGCTCTCTTACAAAACACCAAAGTATTTTTCTCCCTATTGTTAATCAGAAAAATAACAAAGACATACATTTTCTCACTTATTTATTCCTTGTATTAATGCCAGTTGCTAACGAGGAAAAAAAAGCTACCATTGTTCCCTTGTACAAGAGGGCTGTGTTCAGGTGCCCTGTTATTTTGTTAGTCATGTAGAGTCACCTCTATATTCCGACGTGTTGCTTTTATATCCTGGCAAAATGATGACATGAAGGAGACCCAGTCTTTAATCTTCTCCCTGTTGATAGGAATCAACTTTCAGCTGGCATGTGGTAACAATAGCACCCGCGCTCCTTTTGAATCCGAGAAGGATTCTTTTATTAAGGTTGGAACAGGCAGTGGAGCAGGTACCAGGAAAATAAAGATTTTTTCCTAAGTAGCTTAAATGATCCACTGTCTCCTCGCCACCTCCACACTCGCACACTAGAATTAACCCTCATGCCATCTCTGTGAGGAAAGCTCAGAGAAATGGGAAGAAAAGTGGAAAATAACAGTAGTAATCACAGGGTTTGGAGCTTTTGGCTTTGACACTGATTTCTTTGTGTTCTTAAAGGAGCCCCTTAGCCCATCGGCGCCATTTCTGCATAGTTATCCAGGTGTGTCTCCCTTTGGGGAATGCATGTGTTTATGAAGAATGCATTTGAACAGATTTATAGAAATCACATCTTTTCTATTGAGTCTCATGACAATTTAAAAGAAAGCTTTTTGCCTTGGGGTTGATCTGCAACAGATCAAGGTTCTTCATAATCTGAGAAGAAAATGATGGGCTTTGAATGTCATGATAGAAATTTGGGACTATAAATAATGACTAGTCAGTGATGACTTTTGAGCAAGGGAGTCATATGTTCAAACTTGAGATTTGAAAAGATTTATATTGCAGCTGTTCATGAAAGGCTTTGCGCCAAGGCAGGGCTATTTAGGAGGCTATAGCTGTAGCCCAAGTAAAATATAATGAGGTGTCTACTAGGAAAATGGTGCTGGAAAGAGGAGCAAAATTTATGTGTCTCTTTCATGTAACTTTCCCTTGACCTCTGTTCCTCTTCCATTTTAGTACTGGCATGTGTGCATAAAATAGATATAAAAAAGTGTTCCTCATACTTTGGCTTTAGCATTTGCTGCCTCCTCTGCACTGCCTCCTCCCCCAAGTTTAGCTTCTCTGTCAAGCAGATAATCATTTATGAGGAATCAATTAGGCTCCTTTGCTAGCACCAAGAGCCCCTCTTAAAATCTGAAGACTCCTTCAGGGATGAGCATAGCCTTTCCCTAATATATGTAGCTTGTACAGATGTTTGTGTATTGGGTTCTTTTATGTGGAATGCATCTGGGGTGATGGTGACTGTTACGGTTTGAATTGTGTCCCTCTAAAATTCATATGTTGAAGTCCTAATTCCCAGTACCTCAGAACGTGACCCTATTTGAAAATTGGGTCAGATTGTTGCAGATATAATTAGTTAAGATGACGTCATATGGGAGATGGGTGGATTCCTAATCCAATATGCCTAGTATCCTTAGAAAAAGGGGAAATTTGAACACAGAGACATACACACAGAGAAAGCCATATAAAACTGGAGTTATGCTGCCACAAGCCAAGGAACTACCAGAAGTTAGGAGAGATGCCTGGAATAGATCTTCCTTAGCACCTTCAGAGGGAGCATAGCCCTGCAACACTTTGATTTCTGACTCTTAGCCTCCAGATTAGTGAGACAAAATATTTCTGTTGTTCTAAGCTACCCAGTTTGTGGTATTTTGTTATGTCAGTCCCAGGAAATGAATACTGTGACTTTTCAAGGTATTTTAACATATAATGAAAACCACCAAGATAATGTTTAAGGTTGTGGCCGTGAGTTTCTGTTCAAATCATGTTTATTGTTTATTGGTTTAAAATGTTTTTTGTTTGTCTTTGTTTTGCACACAGGAGACCCTCTGTGTTATCTTACAACTTACCTGTCATGGCCAATGAGGAAGTAGTCCCTGTTAGGGGTTCTGATGGACATCACCTCATCAGGGTGGCATTTAAACATCTTCTGCACAGATTGCATTTTTTCATGGCTACTTATGCCAACTTCTACACTGGAATTTCTGTTAGATATAGACATAAAGTATTAAACAGACACAAAAACAGATGCAAAATTAGGAAAAAAAATGACTAATGTTTTATATTAGGATTCAAATTGAATAAATCTTTAGATTTGCTTGATCAATGTTTTGAAAATTGTGTAATAATTTTAGAAAATAAGTTTAGACCTGGTTCATCACTGATTGAAAATACTTCATTCAGCCTGAAACTTAATTCAAAAATTCTTATTTCAGTTGGATTCTTGGTTCCACATATTATTGTTTTCTCATTTTTTTGTACACAATTTCTTTCTTTCTTTTTTTTTTTTTTTTTTTGAGGAAGATCAGCTCTGAGCTAACATCCGTGCTAATCCTCCTCCTTTTGCTGAGGAAGACCGGCTCTGAGCTAACATCTATTGCCAATCCTCCTCCTTTTTTTTCCCCAAAGCCCCAGTAGATAGTTGTATGTCATAGTTGCACATCCTTCTAGTTGCTGTATGTGGGACATGGCCTCAGGATGGCTGGAGATGCAGTGCGTCAGTGAGTGCCCGTGATCCGAACCCGGGCTGCCTGTAGTAGAGCGTGCGCACTTAACTGCTAAGCCACGGGGCCGACCCCACAATTTCTTAAAGAGAAGACAAAAAAAGCCAATCTAAATATTTTTTAAAAATCCATCAGGCTTTATGAAATGATAATTTCATCTGCTCTCTCATTCATAAATTAAGTGAATCAAAGTCTTTCATAACTGAATGCTTGTTGATTAATAATTTATTGATTATAATATATAATATGAAATAAGTACATAGCTATCTTTTACTCAAAGTGTTTCCCATTTTGGGTTCTTTTCAGCAACAAACATAGTAAGTGTGAAGCTTTTGCTTTTTCAGTCAGTGGTTTAAATTTCAATTTGCATGCAAGTTGTTAGTATTTGTTGTTACAAACATTTTCTCCATTGGATACACACCGATTGATTTCAATGGAACCTCGGTGATGAAGGTCTTTGTAATAGGAAAGACTAAAGCCCTTTTCCTCACTCTTTGACAGAACAAAAAACCGCTTTTTCCAAGAGGCCTGAAAAATGAAAACATTTTGCATCTCAGTTAAATCTCAGAGGGGGAGAAAGGATTTAAAAAACGCTCATGAGGCTAGTGGGAGGCCTGTTAAATCATAGTGAATACTCACTGCAGAGAAGAAAAGCTGAGGAGGTGGTGATTTAATAAAGTAATCTTGTTTGCAGACTTCATGGTCATGATAAAATGTTGATTGATTGCCTAATAAAAGAAAGTGAACAGGACTCAGTTTGTTCCCGGTAAATTTCTGAAAAGAACTGCTTCAGTTGGAAAACACTGCTTATCTCTGGAAAAGTCTTCAAGTGATTCTGTTAAAGAAAAGAATATCTATAATAGGCCAGGGGAAAAAGGACCCAGAGGGCCAAATGTGTGATTCTTATTCATCCACAGCAGGGACCTCCATTCAGATGACATTGAGAAGTTCCTTAATTCTGCTCACACCTGTCTGGCTGTCTGTTTCTGGAGCACGGTATTGGCTCGCTAGACGTGAGCAAAGGTTTCTGTCCTTTCCTATTGAAGCACCAGCCACAGGAGCAAGAATTCCGCCTTGATCTTTGGCTTAGCAGACAAAAGCAAAACCACTTGCTACTGAAAATGAGGTGGCAAAAAAGTAGTTAAAGAGGTTTCTAAAAATGTTAACTGTTCTCTGTGAGTGTTGAAATTATAGGCAGTTTTGATTTTTTCTATCTTTTCCCAAATGTCTGCAAGAAATATATACTATTTTCATTATTTAGAAAAACACAGCTAATGTTATTAAAATAAAATTTTTTTTGAAAAAGTAGGGTGGAGCTTGGCTGTGCTTTCACATCCAGGCAATAATTCTAGTTTGCTCTTGGTTTTGGAAAAGGCAGCCTTTACTAAAGAATTAGTGTTTCTTTATTAAGTGAAAACAGAATCAGGATTAGGTAAGACAGCTGATGGGCCATTGCGCTGGTATCCAGTAATTCTTAGGCAGCTGTCCTCACCTTCCCCTCCTCCCCTCCTTTTGCAGCAACTCTGCCTGCTCCTCCCATTCCCGCTGAAAAAAGAGAAAAGGAAAAGAGAAACAGAAGGAAACAATATAGCAACAAGTTTCAGCTCCTTTATTTAACAGCTGTGTGGCCTTGGACAAATTCATGGATTTATTTACTAAACAAATATTTATAGAGCACCTTGAATCACTGAATTGGTCTCAGTGTCCTCATCTGTAAAATGGAGACAATAGCACTGATCTCATAGATTTGTGGTCAGGACTGAAGGAGTCAATGCATGGAAACCTCTCAGTACTGGACCTGGTGCACAGTAGGGCTAACTGAAGAGTAGTTATTATTAAAACAGAGGAAACTTTAGCCTTTATCATTTGCAGAATAAACTGGTCTTCAATCTGCCTATAATGTAGATGTTCTCTGGTGATATTAAATTTAGAGGGTTCAGCAGATGCAGACATTTTATGAAAATTTGTTCTTGGAAGTCTCTGATGACTTTGTATAGACTTGGCAGAATCTTAAATAAAGCAAGTCTGTGAAGATGTAGCCCAGTTTTTGGACTCCCAGGGTGTCCCCGCTGTTCACATTGGCTGCCAGTTCCAGGGCACGAAAGCTCTGACGGTCTTTGTTGACCACGCCGATGGCAATGTTTTCCCTAGACCTTGTACTGAGGAAAATAACCCAGTGGACAGTTGGACCACGTTAATCTGAGCTTATGAAGCAATCAATATCCTGCCAATTTAATAGTTAAGCAATATGAGGCCCAGAAATATTATATGTCTTCCTCATTGTTGCATTAAAGCAAACTCAGATGTATTGATACGGAAAAGAAACTGTGGCCACGATGACACTCATTGTTAATAAGGGCACTGAAGTTTTTCTCTATAGCAGGATTCTGGGCTTAGAAATGAGCTACTAGAGAAACTTAATGATGAGGTCTTTTCATGCCACCTGGCTTCTGCTTGTACTCCCTGTCTTCATGGAGCTTCCAATCATGTGGAAGGTGGATGATAAACAAGAAATTAAATAAACAAGCAAGATAACTGCAGATTGTGATATGTGCATTGGATATGCACATATCCAGGATGATGAGACAGAGCAGCCAGGAAGGCCACTTTAGGTAGATGAGTCAGAGGAAACCTTTGTGAGGATGAGAATGAGCCAAGCGTGTGAAGAGCTGGAGAGGCAGAGGAAGCAGCACAGACAAAGGCCCAGTGATAGGAAAGGGTTTGGTGTGCTCAGGAAGAGAACGGGAGCCCCAAGTGGCTAAAATATAATGAGCCAAGGAAGAGTGTAAGAATCGGATAAGATGAGGCGGGAGACAAGTCCTGCATGGCCTGGGAGGTTGGAGGCCACGGTAGAGTTTGGATCTTATTTTAAAAGCAATGGACAAGGCCACCCAGGGATTAGCCTGGCCAAAAAAAACATTGAAACAATCTCATCAAACCTCTAGATTCAATCTGTAGGAAATACAGAAAACAGAGAAATATGTTAAACACCACGCTGGGAATGTGATAAGCAAAATCCAGTCTGTGGGGAACTTACAGGACAAATTTTCAGTATTTTCGTCTTAGTATATAGTATAGACAATTTTGCCCCTAAACATCTCCACCGGGATTTCCCATAAATTTCTTTCTCTCATCCCCTCCTCCCAGGTGCCCTATATCACTTGGTAACACAACATCTGTCCAGCCTCCCCACGTAGAATACTTAGAGTCATCTTAACTTTCACCTTTCCATCACCCTCATGTCCAATCAATCATTAAGTCATGTTCATTTTACTTCCCAAATACTTCCTGGATCCATCCCTATCTCTCTGTTCCTGTCTTCACTGCCTTCAACGCCTTCATATATTTTTCACTAGACTGCTGTGGTGGCTATCTAGTTTGACTCCCTAATTCCAGTCTTGACATCTTCAAATCCGTCTTCAACATAGCCCCGAGAGTAAATGCTAAATCTGGCCAACCTAGCACTTCAGGCAAAGATGGAATAACAGGGACTGGATTTACCAGACAAAATATATAAAATAGTGGTTTTCAAGACACTGGACATAGGTAATAAAAGTCATTGATCCCTAGAGACAGGAAACAAGGTGAGCCCTACAATTTCTTTGAGAGAATTTCTAGGACACAGCTCAGGAAAGGGGAACTGAGGTAGAACCAGGTGGATTCCTGAGTTGAGGAGATCAAGACACTAGAGTTCAGAGGACAGAGTGCCAGAAAGAAAAGAGCTGCACAGAGAAAGAATTCCAGAGACATGCATAAGGTTCCTCTCAAGTATTTGAGAGTACTGATCAGTATATGTGTGTGAGGAAACTACTCAAGGCCAGAGAAACAACCATTAGAAAAGATTAGAGGGAATAGTGCCCAGTGCACACACAGGGCCAGAAAAAGTGCCTGTTTCCTCCAGTCAGACTGGTCAAATTAATAATTTATGGGGCATTGAGCAGGTCTTTTTACAATGGTAAAGGGGTCAATTAATCAAGAGAACAGGTAGAGTACTCAGGAAGGTCTTGCCTCCATAGTGAGGAATCATTAGCTCTAGGCTAATCATTAACTCCAGACTCACCTAACAAATCATCAAAGCAAGTCTTAAAAGGATCAAGGTGCTTCCAAGAAAATTGGCTGCATCCCAGAACAAAGCTCAAGATTTATAGGAATACAAAAATATTCAGCACCCAACAAGGTAAAATTTGCAGTGTCTGGCAACCAATCAAACATTACCAGGCATGAAAAAAGGCAGGAAAACATGACCCATAATGAGGAGAATAATCAATCCATCAAAACAGGCCTGGAATTGACACAGATTCTAGAATTAGCAGAGAAGGTTGTTAAAACAGTTATTACAACTGTATTTTATATATTCAAGAAGTTAGGTAGAGATGTAGAAGATATAAAAAAGATCCAAAATGAACTTCTAGAAATGAAAACTACAATGTCTCAGAAAAAAATACACTGGATGGAATTAACAGCAGATTAGTGCACTTGAAGGTGTAGCAATAGGGACTATCAAAATAAATGCAGAGTGAAAAAAGAATCCAAAAACATTAAAAGAGCATCAATGCACTGGGGGACAATTTCAAGTGACCTGATATACAAGTAATTGGAGTCCCTGAAGTGGGGAAAGGAGATAGAAAAAATATTTGAAGAAAGAATGCTGAAATTTTTACAAATTTAAAGAAAACTATAAACTCAGAGATCCAAGCAGTTCAGGAACCCCAAATACAAAATACATGAACAAAACTATATCAAGGAACATCATAATTAACTTGTTCAAAACCAATGATAAAGAAAAAAACCTTAAAAGCAGCCAGAGGGAAAAAAGACATAATGCATATAGAGGAAAAACATAAGGATGACATTAGATTTCTCATCAGAAAGAACACAAACAAAACAACAGTGGAAAAACATATTTGAAGCACTGAAAGAAAAATACTGTCATTCTGGAATTCTGTGTGCAGCAAAAATATCTTTCAAAAATGAAGACAACTTTAAAACATTTTCAGACATACAAAAGCTGAAGGAATTCATGATCAGGAAACCTGTACTACAAGAAATATTAAAGGAAGTCCTTCAGGTGGAAAAAAATGATACCAGATGGAAATGTGAATTTATACAAATGAATGAAGAACACTGACGTGGCACCTGCAAAAGTAAATATATAAATTTTTTTCCTATTATTTAAAACATTGAAAGAATTAATTGACTGTTCAAAAAAATAGTAACAATGTACTGTTCAGATTATAACATATGTATAAGTAAAATGCATTCCAACAGTAGCATGAAGGCCAGGAGGGAAAAATGGATGTGCACTTTTGTAAAATTCTTATATTATACGTGAATTGGTGTAATATTAGTTGTAATAAGATAGACTCTGATATGTTAAAGATGTATACCACAAACGCTAATGCAACCACTAAAATAATAAAACAAAGTTATAATTCCATTTATCAAGAGATAAAATGGAATCATAAAAAAATACTCAATTAATTCAAAAGAAGAAGAGTAAAAAGGGGAACAAAAAACAAACGAGAAAAACAGAAAACAAATAATATTATGATAGACTCAAACCTGACCATATCAATAATCACATTAAACATAAATGGTCTAAACAATTCAATTAAAAGACAGAGATGATCAGATTGGATAAAAAAACAAGACTCAACCATATGCTGCCTACAAGAAACACATTTTAAATATAAAGACACAAATAAGTTACAAGAAAAGATCAGGGGCCGGCCCGGTGGTGCAGTGGTTGAGTTCGTGTATTCTGCTTTGGTGGTCCGGGTTTCGCTGATGCAGATCCTAGGTGTGGACCTACTCACTGCTCATCAAGCCATGCTGAGGCAGCATCCCACATAGAAGAACTAGAAGGACCTACAACTAGGATACACAACTAGGTACTGGGGGCTTTGGGGAGAAAAAAGAAAAAAAAAGAGGAAGAATGGCAACAAATGTTAGCTCAGGGCCGATCTTCCTCAAAAAAAAAAAGATCAGAAAAAAGATATACTATGCTAACAGCAGTCAAAAGAAAGCTGGAGTGGCTATATTGACCTCAGTGCAGATTTCAAAGCAAAAAATATTACCAGGGATAAAGCAGGTCTTTTTATAATGGTAAAGGGGTCAATTAATCAAGAGCACATAATAATCCTATACATTTATGTATCCAATAACAGACCTTCGACATACACGAAGCAAAAACTGATAGAACTGCACAGAAAAATAGACAAATCCACAATTACAGTCAGAGATTTCAATACCCCTCTCTTAATAATTGATAGAAAACATAGGCAGAAAATCACAAAGATATAGTACACTTTAACAACACTATCAACCAACTTGACCTGATTGATATTTATAGAAGACTCCACCCAACAACAGCAGAATACACACCTTCTCACATGCAACATTTACAAAAGCAGATCACATTCTCGTCCATAAAACAAGTCTCAATAAATTTGAAAGGATCCAAGTCATATGAAGTATGTTTTCAGAACATAATGTAATCAAATTGAAAATCAATAACAGAAAGATCTCTGGAAAAAAAAATTCTGAAGTAAATAACCCTTGGATCAAGAAAGAAACCCAAAGATAAATTAGAAAGTTTTTTGAACTGGATGAAAAGAAACCATAACATATCAGAATTTGTGTGATGCCACTAAAGTAGTACTTAGGGGGAATTTATTGCATTAAATGCCTAGAAAAGAAAAAAAGTCTCAAATCAATTACTTCAGCTTCCATCTTAAGAAACTTAAAAAAGAAGAGCAAATTGAATATAAAGTAAACAGAGGAAAGGCAATAACAAAGATCTAAGTGGAAATCTGAAATAGAAAACAGAAAAACAATAGAGAAAATCTATGAAACCAAAAATTGATCTTTTGAGAAGATCAATAAAATTAATAAACCTCTATTTTATTTAGCCAGACAGATCAGGAAAAATAGTGAGAAGACACAAATTACCAATATCAGGAGGAAAAATGGGACATAACTATAGATTCTACTGATAGATAAAAGGATAATAAAGAAATATTATGAATAACTTTAATAAATTTGACAACTTAGATGAAATTGAAAAATTCTTTGAAATCACCAACTAATAAAGGTTACTCAAGAAGAAATAGATAAGCTACCTGACTAGCCTTCTGTATCTATTAAAGACATTGGAATTGTAGTTAAAAACCTTCACACAAGGGTAACTTTGGGCCCAAATGGTTATTCTGGTAAATTCTACTAAACATTTAAGGAAGAAATAATACCAGTTCTAAACAAAATCTTCCAGAAAATTGAAGAGGAGGGAATATTTCCTAACTCATTCTATGATATCAGCATTACTCATCCTGATAAAAACTCTTAGCACACTAGGAATAGAAGAGAACTTCTTCAACCTGATAAAGGATATCCATGAAAAACCTACAGCTAACATCATACTTAATGGTGACAGACTCAATGCTTTCTCCCTCAGATCAGGAAGCAAACAAGAATGTCTTCTCTCACTTCCCATATTCAATCTTTACTGGGGGTTTTAGCCAGTGCAGTCAGGCTACAAAAAGGAAATAAAATTTTTTTAAAAAGTTAATGAGCTTTTCCACTCTTAAGCAGCCACTATGGAACACAGTATGGAGATTCCTCAAAAAATTAAGGATAGAACTACCATACCATCCAACTATTCCACTGCTGGGTATTTATCCAAAGAACATGAAAACACCAATGCATAAAGATATATGCACCCCTGTGTTCATTGCAGCATTATTCACAATAGCCAAGAGTTGGAAGCAACCTAAGTGACCATCAAGGGATGAATGGATGAAGAAGATGTGGTATATATACACCATGGAATACTACTCAGCCATAAGAAATGATGAAATCCATCCATTTGTGACAACATGGATGGACATTGAAGGTATTATGGTAAGTGAAATCAGTCAGAGGGAGAAGGTCAAATACCATATGATCTCACTCATAAGTAGAAGATAAAACAACAACAAACAAACACATAGAGATATAGATTGGATTGGTGGTTACCAGAGGGGAAGAAGGGAGGGAGGAGGGCAAAAGAGATGATTAGGCACATGTGTGTGGTGATGGGTTGTAATTAGTATTTGGGTGGTGAACATGATGTAATCTAGGCAGAAATAGAAGTATAATGATGTACACCTGAAATTTATATAATGTTATAAACCAATGTTACCACAATAAAAAAAAAAAGAATTGCATTGACTTGGGTCAACTCTAAGGGCTGCTGGACTTGATTAGACAATTGGAGTCCCAGCATGGACTCTACTCCTTGCTAGTTGGACAACTTCGAGTAAGTCAAAAAAAAAAAAAAAGAAATATATGACCATACAAAAATTTGTCACTCATATTCATAGCAGCTTTATCTGTGATATCCAAAGACTGGAAGCAACCCAGATGTTCATCAACAGATGAATGGATTAACAAATTGTGATACATCCATACAATGGAATACTACTCAGGAATAAAAAGGAAGAAACTCCTGATACATGCAACAACATAGATGAACCTCAAAAGAATTATGCTGAGTGAAAGAAGCCAATCAGAAGAGCACATACTGTATGATTCCATTTAGGTAAGACTCTAGTAAACACAAACGAATTTAGAGTGACAGAAAGCCAAACAACAGGGATAGGGATTGGGTGCTGGAGGGAGGGATTATAAATAGGCACAAGAAAACTTTTGGGAGTGATGCATATGTTCACTATCTTGATTGTGGTAATAGTTTCCCAGGCGTATACACATATCGAAACTTATCAAATTGTACACTTTAAATATGTGCAGTTTATTGTATGTCAATTATATTACAATAAAGCTATTTCGAAATGTTCCCGTGCTCAAAATGCTTCAAGGGTTGCCAGTCATATGAGGTCAAGGTCTGGCACAATATAGCGCCACATTTCTGCAGCCTCGTCCTTATTCTCCTCCGTCCTATTTTATATCCACCTTCTCCTCTGACACACCCTGCCCTAACCTACTTCATTGCTTTTCTGCTGAGATGTGCTCTCTTTTCCAATCTCTTTTAAAACTCTACACATCCTTTAGGGTCCAGCTCAAATGCCTTCTCCATAAAACCTCTCTGCATTCCCAGAACTACTTGCATGCTTTTTCTTCTTTAGTCTCCCATAGCATTTTGCACTTATTTCATGATTGCTATCATAGCCTGATTGTACGTGTTTAACTCCCCAACAAAATCGTAAACTCATTGAGAGCAATGACTCATTAATTAATCTGCATATCCTCTGCAATATGAAGCACAGTGACTTACTAATGATACGTGCTTTGAATAAATATTCAAAAATATTTATTTTTGAATTGAATTGGATAATTTGATTTCCAAGTTACTTCATCCTAAACTCAGCTCTTCTAACCACTCACCTACAATGAACTATGTAAACATGAGCAAGAACATTTGAATAATACATCTTGAGTCACCCTCATAATAACCCCTGATAACAATTTAGGCAGTTTCTCCAAGTGAGGATTTTATATAAAATTAAGGAGATATTCTCCAATCTTTTCTGGGGTATAGTTCATTGTAGTAGCATCTCCAAGCAACAAATGGAACATTTGGCCCATGAAGATCAGAATAGATAGGTGAGCTCTTACAAAATAATTAACTGAATCCAATAGCCTCTGCTACATTCTCCAAATCAAAAATCAATGTCCTGGAATGCCACCCATTATCACCACTACCATCTTCTGTATCCCGGTTAGCTTGATGGGAATTGTTTGTGTAATTTTCAATGAAAAGATTTTCCTTCTGAGAGTATGCCCCTTGGGTACCTGGACTCTTCTGACGTTTGGCTTCCATTATGGCAGTCTGTTCTCACCTGTTAGACAGAAAGGCTGAGCGTTAGTTAGTCCTCAAACAACAGTATGCTTCACTGATTAGCCACTCAATCCTGGGGTATCAGGATGGTGCCTGCAAATGTTGGTGAGACGGGTTATCAGCCTCCCCTTTTCCATTCTGCCCTAAGGCTGAGAGTAGCCATAGTAACAAGGACATATCCAAGCAGCCTGTGCTCACCAGTGGCAGTTCTGTGGAGGTGCTGTCAGGATGACTGAAGGAGCCATCTTCCCTGGACTTTCTCTGCTCCTGCTCCGTAAGTGGCTCTGACAAGAGTCCCTGGAAGAAGCAACACTGAGGAGGAGAGACAAGACCAGGGCAGAGTGCAGGGTGCTATGGATCAAATGCAGCTGAGAAAGCATTTCTGGCCAAGAGGAAGTCCAAGATAAGCCCTTTTCCATGCCAGGAACTTGCTCTCTCCAGAAGGAAGGTCCTAAGAGCAAGGACCAGGGCATACCCGTGTTCTTACACTGCCTCAGCCACTGAGTGGCCCGTTCCCAAGGCTGCCCGACTCTGGGGCTGAGGCTGACATGGTGAAACTGAGTCTGAGAGGTGAGTCTTTTCCTGGGCAACTCTGCCTGCAATCCCTTGACCCACATGGATCCCTGTGAGAGGGGAAATCCCACAGGGGCAAGGGCCGCAGGGCAGATGAGATCTTTGAAATAGGAATGTGCTGGTGGCCAATTTTTACCTTGAATTAAGACTCTCAGAATAGGAGGAAGTAATGAACAGGGCAGTGCTCACGAGATGGGAGGAGGCAAAGGGCCCTTCGTCATCTAATCCGCATGGTCATTCCTTCCCTCCTGACTTCTCCCTTTTTTCACCATAAACTCATTCTTTCCTCCTATGGTACAAATAACTCATAGCAATTCTTTAATCATATATATATATATATATAATATAAATATATATATGTATATTTTAAACAAAGATGAAAGTCTTAAGTTTAAGACCACAAGTTCTCAAAGTACACTCTTTTGGTGTTTTGTCAGAAGCTTCTGGGAGCTATTTGAAGATCAGTGGGGCTTTCCTAGACCCTGAACTCATACCTTCCCTGACTGGAGAAAAGTTTTCTCTGTTGATGTATAATAACAGTAGTGATTATTCGAACAGATTACAAACAAATAAGACCTTTCTGGGGTGTCTGAAGGCAAATGTTGAAGAACTGTTGCCCTTAGCCCTTGCCTGGTGTAAGGGGCACACTTAGCTCTGTGCAATGAGCTGTAATGCCTGGGATAGACGCCAGGCTATTGAAGCCAAAGCCCTCCGTTCCCTGAGAGAGCAATTCTGCACAAGGAAGAGGAACTCACCTACCTAAAACTTTGCCTACTTCCCCCAAATCATGCACATTTAAAAAAAATTTACCCCTGAGGTTTTGTACAAAATCCATGAGGTTCTTTCCAATTACAGGGATTTCACTGCCTGAAGCAGAAGTGGGGACCAGTGATTTTCAGCTCATCACCATTCCCTCCATCTATGCTTGTGGGAGTTGGCTGCCCCTCCCTGGGGCATTGAGCCTAGTGAGTGATGGAGTGAGTGATGGAATTCCTGGATCAGATCGGAGGACTGTGCTGGACAGATTAACTGAGGGTGACTTTTGAAAGCAGTGTGTTTACTGCAAGCTCTTTGTTAAAAAGCCAAAAATTATTTTTCTTCTTGATAAAATAATTTGTAAAGACTTTACAGTTTATAAAATGTGTTTGTATACATTATTGCTTTGGTGTCTAGAACTGTCCTATGAGATCACTCATTTTACAAATGAAAAACTGCATTTGAGAGAGGAAGAGCCAGAGGACTTGCGTTAGATTCCCTGGCAGAGTCCCACACTGCGCTACACTGATGCTCACGACGCTCCCAACAACACTCGCACTCCCTGCACACTGTGGATGGCAAAGAGAGCTTTGGAGGACAGTTCTGGCCTTCCAAAGTCTGTGCAAGACTCCGAAGTCACATGTAGGGACCACTCCTCCCTATTTTCCCAACCCACCACAAAATGAGATGACAAATGAGGCAGCAGGGTGTTAACTCTGGAATCTGGATTTAAATTGCATCTCCATCAGTTATGAGAGATGTGATCTTGGGTACATTATAACACCTCTCTACACGTCTATTTCTTCATCTGTAAAATGGAAGTGGTAATGTTACCACCATCATAGGACTGCTGTCAGCATCACTTGAGATGATCTGCCAAGGAACATTCAGTATCTAAGAAATGCTCAATAAATGGTACATGTTAGGTCATTTCCAGTTCAGATATTCTATGATTCTATGATTGTTGAGTAATTACCAGCATTTGTTGAGTACTTAATACACTCCAGGCACTTCTGAGCAAAATTCGTACAATAGATTTCATATATATGTATACATGTACTGGATTTCATATACATATGTAAGCATGTATTTCATATTATCTATATGGATTTCATGTTATGTATATGTGTTCCAAACAAGTTGACAGGCCCAAAATGGAGTCATTTATGCTAAACCCCATGTCACCAAACCAAGACTTAATACCTGCTTATTACAGTTTCAGCCCAAGAGTGGAATCTTAAATCAATCAGGAATTACCTGGTCAGCACTAGTGAGGTAATCTGCCTGACAGACCCTAGCTGAGCCCTAAAGGAAGGTGACCTTGCCACAACTAATCTGCTTTTTGCTGGTATAACTTCCTCGTCCTGCTCCCTTTTGCCTATAAAAGTCTTTCCTTTTGTACAGCTCCTCAGAGCTCCTTTCTATCTGCTAGATGAGATACTGCCCAATTCATGAGTCTTTGAATAAACCCAATAAGATGTTTAAAATTTACATTGAATTTTGTTTTTTAACATATGAAATCCAGTATATGTATACATGTATATGAAATCTATTATATACATATATATGAAATCTATAATCTAAATTTTGATTATATAAGCAAAATTATAATATCATGCAAATGAAATGTCATTTGATTTCATATATATATAACATAACAATACTACAAAGCTTACACTATTTTTACAATGATACAATACCCCTTTTACAGACGAGGAAACTGTTACCAGAGACATTAATCAATTCGCCTTTGATCACATAATTAAACAGAAGCAGAGCCAGAATTCTAACTTGTGAGTTGGTGTCTGAACCACTTTGCTCTTCCTCCTATCTAAGAAAGAAGAATGAAATCTTTTCATAGTTCCACTTGCATTTCTTGTCATTGCCCTAAACAAAAAAGCCTTTCAGATTTAGCTCTTCAATCTCATTCACGAGAATCTACCTCCTATCATTGCCCAACCTGTTCATTGTAATGTCACTTGGGATTTGATGAGTGTGATACCAAGAGGTTCTATTTTCCTCTTACTGTACAGTCCAAGGAAGAAGAAAGCCCATAATAGCAATTTTGCTCAATTAAGCTTCCAGATTACTACAGCCTTGAGAACCCAAACCAATCACACCAAGCAGTACTTACTGGAAGCCAGGCGGTCACTGGTTCCGTTCTCAGCAAAGTGCCCTGTCCCTCAGTCTCCTGAACTCAGCCTTGCTCACTCAGCTCTGAGTGCCAGGGTAAAGACTAAGTACAAGCTCTGTTTGAAATGTAAACCAACAGGAAGTTCCCAAACTTCTATCTTAGGGAAGATTTCACTCTGGCCCCAAGTTGAAATGGAAGCTGGTGTCCCAGGGGAAGTCCTGGGCTTTCATTCTTCCTGTGGCTTGGCACGGAACTGCCCTTGGCATTCTAGCTGTCTGGCAACAAACATTGAAAGCAAACAAATAAAAAAAAATTCCTGCCAGATTCTGGACCACAGTCACAATGACTCTTATTGAGGACAATGCCAGCCCAGCCTTGACCCCCTGCAATGACTACCACTGAAACAATTCTTTTCTTCCCACCCATCTGTATCTTCCCAATGTCCTCCTGGGGAAGATAGAAAGGATTTCTTCGTGCCAGATGAGGAAACAAAAGCCTGGCTTTTCCAACACACTTGCACATGCCAAGGGTCTCCAGGAAGATTTGCTCATTCATCCATAATGGAGTTGTCATCAACAGGGTGGCACTAGGTAGGCTCTCCTGCACAGCCACCCAACAACTCTTAAAAATAAGCAGGCTACCACAAATGGCCATTCTTACACTTGCTAAGTGGCATCTGGTCACCCAAGGGCTTTAGGTATATTTTCATTTATATTAAAATTTTTTAGGGGAAAGAGGAAGTAGCTAATGAATTTTGTCTTCTTATATCACCTTTAGAAGTGAAAGTACATATTTTAATCTTTGTGTTCGCTAGCGTAGCTGGACTTGAATCAGTTCCGCCACATATTCACTGAGTGGACTTCACTAGTTACTTAAGTTCTCTGAGTCTGTTTCCTCATCTGCAAAATGGGGTGGATAATGCTGACCTTACAGGATCTTTTTAAAAATTAAGTAAGATTTCACATATAAAAAGTATGTAGCACAGTGCTTGATCATGGTAAGCATTCAACAAAAGTCATTTCTCTGTTTTTCCCTTTTGCAGCCTGTGGAGGGTACAGGTATTATTGGTTCCTTTATTTAGCAATTGTAGCTGGACTTCAGACATGCAGAAATGATTAATTTATCATTCACTTTCTGCACAGGACAGGTTTTGCTTGATTTAGGAGAAATAATTTCTCAGAATGTTTTTACTTGTATGTTTCTTTAGGCCAGCTTTTGTTTACTTTGGAAATAGTCTTTAGTATCTTTACATTTGGTCTTTAACCAGGTATTACTAGTTATTACCCTAGGTAGTTCGTAAAAATCTTCTGCTGATCTCCACTTACTCAGGAACTATAAAGCTACAGAAAGCCCATCATCATAATCCAGAGACCTAACCAAAAAGAGGTAGAGAGAAAATTACCTTAAGACTGTGTTCCTTTGGAAAGGATATTTATAAACCAGTTAGACAGACAAATGGACTTCTCATCTATCCATCCATCTATCCACCCGTCCATCCATCCATCCACCCGTCCATCCATCCATCTATGCGTCCATTCACCCACCCAGCCCACCCTGTTCCAGGCTTTTTTTGTCATATTTTCCCAATAGTATTACAAAGCTCTTTGAGGAAGAAGCTTAATATATCCTACAGGCGCCTAGGAAAGCTGTTTGTACGGTAGATGCTACCTATAAAATAAAAACTTACAAGCAACCAAAAATTGGCATAGACACCAAATACTAAACTTATGAAACATACCTATGAAATGCAAGCCTAGTTTCCTTTATGTGTCCCCAGTGACCTGTAAACAAGGTATCAGTGAAATACTTGTTGCAAAAAAAGCCATCAGCTGCTCATTGGAAATAACAAATGAGTTGTTCCATGACTTTGTTAATGGTGCTTCTCTATCATGAAAGTGCTCTTCAGCTCTGCTGCCTCTTAATTAACACACAACTGAACAGTTTATATTACATGATAATATCTAACATCTATTTGGAATATTTCTTCTACATGTAATAACACATTTAATCCCAACAATTTTGCAGGATAAGTATCACAATTCCTTAATTTTACAAGGAGGAAGCTGAAATTTAGAGAGAAAAAAATAACTTGCTCAAAGTCATGCAGCTGGTAAGCGACCAACAGAAATCACACTCTGGTCTGTCTTGACGCCAAAGCCTGCACGTTCTCTTTCTTACACCATGCCGTGTTGAGTCCTGGGCTGGGATCAGTTGGCCTGGGCTCTTGGCCTGCTCTGCCACCAGCTGTGTGACACTGCATCGGTTGCCAGTTCTCTGGGCCTCATAATCCCATTGCTGCCCCTTCATCAAAGAGCTCTAAGTACCCATTCAGCTCTGATTATGATTATTCCCTTGAAGCAGAGCCACGACTTATCAACATGCAGTCTGTCTCCCTGCATGTTGAATGCTCATTCTCCACAAGGACAGTGAATATGCCTTTGTTGATATCACCAGTGAAGAAGTGACATCAATTACATCACTTCAGGGCATCCTTGCTGTCTCTCTTCTCTGGAACAAAGAGTTCAAGGGAAGCAAGGAAAAAGCTGTACACATTAAAAAACATAATGATAACAAAGATACCTTTTAGATTGTGTTAAAATGATACCAGACAAAAATCTACTTTCTATCACCTTTTTGTTGGTGGTCTGAATCATCTTAAATTGGTAAAGAGAATAGGACCGACGATGTAAAGCATTTTATACGATTCTCTTCTATGATGGAATTTGAAAATTGCTCTGCAATTAGGATTGCTTTTGGCTGCAAGTAAAAGAAACACTCAACAATAGTGGCTTATAATTTATTTGTCATATATCATGCAAGATGCCCGAAGTGAGGCAGTTCCGCAGTTGGTTTGATGACTCAGTTAGAACACTGAATTTATGACTCTGATTTTCTTAGGCTTTTCTCTATGGCCATAAATTTGCTGCCAGAAGCATCTAGTTTTCACAAGTATCTCAAGCATCTCAAGCAAAGGGTTGGAGGAAAAGGAGCACTTTCTTTATGTACTTTCCACTTTGGGGAGGAAAATTTTTCCTACAAGGCCTGCAGAAGACTTCTCCTTATATCTGATTATACAAATTAGATCTTGTGTGACCTCAGACCAAGAGGAAATGAGATTTCCTGGGTTGGCTTGGACCAATCGTGAGTTTTTTCCTTGCCATCTGAACAAAACTGGGGTATAGTCAGGCAGGAAGATGGAGAATACCTGACACAAAGACATCATCACCTGCCCCCTGCCTCCCTCTCCAAGATCATCTCTGATCTTTTGGTCTCTGCTCTCTAGGCACCTTGACCTTTGTAAATATTGTTGCCTCTGTCTGGTTCACTCTTCTCCCATCTCTTCACCCGGCTAATTACTACGCATCCTTCAGATCTCACTCAAATATCACTTCTCAGTGATTCCTTCTCTCCCCCAGACAAGGCCAGATTCTCTTACAATACCTTATCATGGTGTTGTGTTAACTTCAGAACACACTTTTCCCACTTGTAATTTTATATTCATTTTTCTGATTATTTGATTAACGTCTGTCTCTTCCTCCACAAGACTGTGAAGTCCATGAGGATTATTATTATGTCTGTTTCTGCTGACCATTGCATCCCCAGTAGCTAGCTTAAATGCCTATCTCATTCTTTATTTATTTATTGTGTTCCTACTCTATGCAAGGTTTTAAATTATGGATAAATAGATAAATGAAAAGATGAATGTCTTTTGAGAGCTCATAATTTGGCTCAGGAGACCAAAGACAACAAACTTTAATACTCCAATGACCATCACTTGTACTTCACTTTTGTACCCTACTCCCATCACCACACTTTGGCCTTACAATTACCCATCCCCGTCTGACCTTTGATAATTTTAATTCTGGTGTCTCACCTTCTGACTGCAACTTCCCATCCTTCTACCTTTTCTATTTCCTCACTTCAACCAAACCTGTTCTTCAATATCTTCAAGTCCTTAAGATACTTGACCCTTCCTCATCCTTTCAACATGTCTGCTGTGCTCAGTGAGTGACCTTTGCTAGCTGAGACTGCCATTCCCTTAACCCACCAACAAAGGAGATGAACCAAGCAGGGCTTTGCACAGGGTAACCACTGATTGGATCAGGATGAGCACTTGACCCTAGGGCTGCCCCTCCATTGGTTGGCTGGTGATCGATCCATGGAGTAGCCTGACACAAAGAGTTTTGCTCAAAAGAGGCAATGACTGTTAGTCAAGCCTTGTTGAAATTCTTCCTTCCCTTTGCTTCCAAGTTACTCGTCCCATCTCATTCTGTTCTGCACTGATCTATTTTCTTTGTCTCTTTTAAGAATCCCCACAGCTCGTTCCTTAGATATTTCCTTACTCTACCAGTGTTTCTCGATGCTGGAAGTGTTGAGAGTCCGTTGAGGTTGGAGACCATGAATCTGGCAAGAATTCTGTCTGCCTGATGTGTGATTTTCTCTAGCAGCACTCAGCTATTCAGGAGCAGATATGGGGGAGCCAGGTGGTGAGGTTTATTCTGGGTTAGCATTTTTGTCAAGGAGATGCCACAGAAGGACAAAGGAGCAACAGAGTTTAAGATACATGGAAAAGGGTACCCAAAATGATGAACTATGGAATCAGAGGGACATAAGGAGGGAAGAGATAATGAGGTGGTGGGGGCTTCTGGGGAAGAAGTACTGGTGAGATTGAAGACAGATGGAACAAGCTGGCTGGAAAGGTAAGAGGTGGTGTTTGGAAAGAAACTGACTGGTTGATGATCTTAAAAGTAGAGCAGTCGGGGCTTGCCTGGTGGCGCAAGCAGTTAAGTGCGCACCCTCCGCTGAGGCAGCCCGGAGTCCGCTGGTTCAGATCCCGGGCGCGCACCGACGCACTGCTTGTCAAGCCATGCTGTGGCGGCATCCCATATAAAGTGAAGGAAGATGGGCACGGATGTTAGCTCAGGTCCAGTCTTCCTCAGCAAAAAAAGAGAAGGATTGGCAGATGTTAGCCCAGGGCCGATCTTCCTCACCAAAAAAAAAAAAAAAAAGTAGAGCAGTTGTGGGGAGTGGGTGGCTGAGCCAGAGTGTGGAAGAAGGTCATTGGCGATGAGGAGGTCAAGAAACTGAGAGGCTAAAGTGTTTGGTCATCCACATGGCTGTCCGGTTTATGGAACAAAATACTTTTGAAGTTCTCTACAGATTTTTGAAACATGAGAAACAGAATAAAGGTAACCATCTCCACCCACTTCCTCCAACACATATACA